TAAAACAGTCGGAACAGGGGGAAAAAAATAATGTTGTGCAATTAGCAGCAAAATGCCAGACAAATAAGCTCATTAATTGTTCGAGGGAGCAAGCTCTGCCAGTCATCAGCAAGTGCCCATTTTGGGGGCCGTGGAGAGGGGTGACACATGCCCTGGGACACCGGAGGGACAGGGGGACACCCCGTCTCGTGCCACCCCAGCACCAGGGCTCCTCAAAAAGGAGGAAACCAGCCCCAAAAGCAGCTTCCCTGCAGAGTAACAGAGTTTAAACCAGGAGCACCACGGTGGCATCTCTCTGCCATGGGCTGAAACCAGGCACCAAGCCTCGACCTCCCCCCAAAACACGGCTCGGCTCCTTCGCATCGTTTGCTAATTAAATCCCACTAATGAGAAGATGAGGATGCAGGAGCTGGCTGAGCAGCCCTGCCTCCTGCACACACACTCCTCCCGGACTTATCACTACTCACAGGATGTTTACAATAATTTTTAATTTGCACAATTATTAATCATTTTTCTATCTGCCTAATTTGCATAATAATTACTCTGCTCCGTGTTTGCCATGACTGTGAATGACAGTGTTTTAAATTAAATTAAGATTTTAATATTCAGGGTTTTTTTTGGTTCAAGCTAATCAAGGTTGCTGCTCGGTGCCAGGACCGGGGCTGCTGCCCTTCCAGAAACACTAATGAAGAGATCCGCTTCCCCCCGGTGCTCGCTTTATCTCCATCCCCCCTCTCATCCCAGAGGATCCCGCTGCATTTTCCAATTGCTCTGCTGCCTCCTGGGACAGAAGAGCCGTGGTGATGCGGGATGCAGAGGGAGGGCACTGGGACATACTGGTCGTCTCAGGCTAACGCTGCTCCCCACACCCTGGAGCCACGGGCAGAATGAGAGGCCACTCTGCTGTCACCTCGGAGCCTTCAGTGACATTTCAGATCCTGTGTTTGATTTGTCCAACTGCATCCAGATCAGCTGTCCCAATATTTGCTGATTTGAAGGCAATAACACAGGAGGATGCATCCCCATGTTCTACTGGCCTTGTCTAAGCTCTCCCATCCTCTTACTTCGCACAGATACGTTGTGCCGAGAAAATATCTGATGATAAGCAAATAATGGATGCATTGCAGACATTCAGTACTGTAATGAACACTGATACAAGCCCCCCTGGGAGCAGTAAACATACACCCCTCTGTCTAAAAATCCTCAAACTGCAGCTTTCAAAATAGGCTGCAAGAGCAGAGGCTGATGCTGTTTCCAGCTCCTAAAACCCGTGGTGCTTAGTACTGGTATTAAAACAGCAGCAGCTCCTGGTCCCAGCTCTCAGCGCCAGCAGCTCTGTAAAAGAAGCACGCTCCGGCTCGAGCAGGGTGGACAGGAAGGTCTCCAGCATCTACCCAGGGCAACAACTCGCCACACTGAGGTGAATTCAATAATTTCACTCTATTTTGGTTGGTTTTTTTACATCTCCAGAAGCACTCGGGGAAGTGGGAGCAAAAATGAGAACGTGTCAAATGTAACTTCACTCTTCCAGGCTGCCACTGCCTCCAGTTACAGGAAAATAAAAATAAACAGGATGTTGGTGATAGAAGGGGAAAGTACAACTGGAAGATACACACAGGGCTGAGGACGGGCTTTCACTGTGCTGCAGCCAGCAGCTCTGAGCCCTCGCTGCTGCCTCGTGCTCCTGAGCCCTGCTCCTGCCTGACAGGCTGCACCGGGGCCTAGGTGAGCAAAGCCTGCCCGACACCTCCTCGGTGCCCACCCAAGACCTGCTCAGCCTGGTAAAGCACCACAGCTCGCTCCCCTGAGATCCACAAACAGTGCCTGTTCTCCACTCCACTCCTCTCCCGGCCTCAGTCTCCGGCTCTGAGCAGCAGACACGGTCCACACGCTGCCACAGAAGAGCACCCGTCGCTGAAGGATGTGGTGAAGCTTAACCGAGTGCCCCAGAAACACAGGCGGGAGCGTCGGCACCGCTGGGGCACGGCCACTTCCCACTTGTAGCCCAGACAGTCACCAACCCACTTCCAAAGAGACCTCACTGCAAAGGACAGTCTGTGTGGGTGGCAGAGGTAACCGCAGTGGGCGACATCCAATCCTTTCACTGACAATTATTTACCCTCCTTGGAAAAAAAAAAACACCACCAGGCAAAACGAAGTGAAAAAAGAAAGCTGTTATTTACAGAGTACAGACAGGCTCCAGAACTGCTGGGAACACAGTGACTAAAACCAGGGAAGGAAGTCCCCTGACTCCCCCGCTCCAGAGAAGACTTTGCCATCATCCTTCTCACCCAGAGCCCTCCCAGTGCTCGAGAGTCACAACTGGTCCCTGACCCCACTGAAGAGGAGGCATCTCCATGGAAACTGCTGCCTGCACCCACACACGCTCCCCGGGACGCCAACCACAACCACCGTGTTTATTTCCACAAGTGCTCTCTGCCAGCAGGGATCAAGGGAAGCTCTCTGCCTCGCCTCCAGCTCCAAGCCCAGCAAATCTGATCCCAAGTGAGGCCCCAGGCAGCACCGCTGGACAGAGAGAAATCTGGGGGAACCAACCCACCACCATTAGCTTCTTCAAATGTAACAGTCAGGGGGAGCAACTTAAACACCCTCCCTACGTTCATTTCCAGAAGAAACTGACGCCAAAGTGTGGTGGTGGCTCTTGAAGATTTTCCTGTCTGTACAGCATTGTGGGTTGGTCTCATCTCTTGAAGGAGAGAGCCAGAGTGCTCCACAGCAAGCAGCTTCCCGCTCAGACAGGGCTGGGGGAAGCTGAGCTTTAACAACATCACTGCAGGTCAGCAGCTCCAGGAACCAGAGGGCATGACGTGCTCATGAGAAGCCCTTTGGGTGCACTGGGCAGGACAGAGGGAGCATCTGACATCAGGTCCCAGTACTAAGTAAGTACTTTTAGGGTACAGTCGCTCTCTGGAGGAACCCAAACGTAACTGAAACTGCAACTGAGCTCTGGAACAGACTGACCAAGTGTTGAGCGTACTTGTACCATGAAGAAGAACCTGAGATTTTAAAACACCTGAAGACTCGTGAACCGCCCTCAGAGGACAAAGCATTTGGCATAAAACAATTCAGCCTATAGTCTCTATGGTTTGTTAGAAAACAAATAAATGGACCAGAAACCAACGTCTGCAGCACCTCACAGGGAAGTGCCAGAGAGCTGAGGGACTCCTGCAGGCAGTGGCCTCCCCAGATGTCCTCTGTGCTCAGCCACCCAACAGGAAAATCCTCCTTCAGCAGCTCTCCTTTAAGTTCAGCCTCTCGGGGCCACTGGGATGCTGAGGACAGGGTTTGGTCCAGGTAGAGTGAGGCACTCCTGTAGGGAACCCTCTGCAGCATCAACCCAGGAGCGCTGCTTCCCATGGTTCTTCATCCTGTCTACATGTCCTCAACGCTCCACTTGTAGGCGAGCTCCTGAACCGCCTTCCTGTTGGCTATCCGAGCGAAGCGCTGCTGCTCGAACCCGTTGGACCTACAAAGCAACACCAAGGAGCTTTTCTCAGACTTCTTAGGGACTTTACGAGTTATCCAATACGACTCTGGCCCCATTTCCACCTCCACCTGAGGTTAACAGTGGTTACTGTCTCCACAGCGAGTTCCCTCACCTTCATCCTGAGGACGAGGGGGTCTCTCCCCACCCGCTGCCGGGTGTTTGCAGTGCAGAAGCGATTCCCCCCTTGCTGACAGCACCAGCCTTGCTGGGGGGTCCCAGACAAGCGTGTCTCCATCACCCACCTGTCACTTCACACATTCCACATCACCACTGCCAACCACCTCATTCATCTCTCACTGGGAATCTTTACACTGTGAACTCCTTGAATCAAAACCTCATTTCTTTTTACTGTGTGATTCTACCACAGGCCTGTATGAGGAACACGTACCTGTCCACACCATCCCAGCGATGCCCGGGCCAGATATTAAACCTGTTGAGCGGAGGTGCTGGTCCCTTGTACCTCGGTTTTTCTGGTAAGAGAAAGAGCAACGTGGCATTTACTGCCTTGGTGCAACCACATCGCCAGCAACCCCCAAGGCACAGGGCAGAGGCGCTTAACGGCTGACCACGGCGTGCACAGGAAACCTCCAAAGATACATTTCACAGAATCACAGAATGTTGGGGATTGGAAGGGACCTCAAAAGATCATCCAGTCCAACCCCCCTGCCAGAGCAGGAACCTCAATGAGATCACACGGCCGGTTTTTGAATTTCTCCAGAGAAGGAGACTCCACCCCCTCCCTGGGCAGCCTGTCCCAGGGCTCTGTCACCCTCACCATAAAGAAGTTTCTTCTCAAGTTGAAGCAGAACCTCCTGTGTTCCAGCTCACACCCATTGCCCCTTGTCCTACCATTGGGCATCACTGAGAAGAGCCTGGCTCCATCCTCATGACATATTTATAAACATTAATGAGGTCACCCCTCAGTCTCCTCTTCTCCAAGCTAAAGAGCCCCAGCTCCCTCAGCCTTTCCTCAGCAGGGAGATGCTCCACTCCCTTCATCACCTTGGTGGCTCTGTGCCGGACTCTCTCCAGCAGTTAAAAATTCTAATAATGATCCTTCTGCAGCTTCACCAAACTGAGCCTGGTGATTTTTGCACTCACCAGACCCTGCTCTCTAAACTCACAACAGCAACCGTTACCAGGAACAAGGTACTCATAGCAAACTCTGCTGCCACACTGACACCAGAGGAGCAGCCCCTCAGGACCGAGCTCTGGCAGCCTGAGGCCGCGTATTTAACCTCAAACCAAGCACTGGTGCAACCCAACAGCCAAACCTTTCTTTTCTTTGTTCTCCTTGGCCTTCCTTTTCTTGATTATGTCAGCCATAGGGTCTCCTTCTCTCTCTCGTTCTCTCAGCATTCGATCCAGATCCTGGTCATCAATGTAACGGGCCAAGGGCTTCTGCATCTCTTTGATTGCATCTTCCACGTTCTGCTGCTGTTGCCTCCCCTGTGCCAGCCTGAAAACAAACACAAGGTTTCACTCCAAACCCAAGGAATCGTTCATTTACTGGGAAAACCCATGGGGTCCTTAAGACACGCGGCACACGCGCTCTCCTGGTCCCGGGGGGCAAACTCAGAGCGGAGTGACGTGCCACCAACAGCACCCCTGGAAGCAGCATGATAGCCAGGCCAAAAATCAGGGAGCAGAGTCCCAGGCTGTGAGGCACCAGCCCACAGCAGGGAAAGCCTCACCCTTTCCCCCATCTGGCGTATTGCTGGTCCCTCTCAGACTGAGCTTCAGCTTTCTGCTTCTCCTCCAGCAGCTCCTGCGCCAGGTCTCTCTTGCGGCCGAACTTGTCTCGGAAGATGGTCTCCGAGTGTTTGGATTCCTCTGGAGGGGGCAGATGCATCAAGTCACACGTTTGGGAACATTTCACTGTCTCCAGATGGTTCAATGACTAACTGTGACTCAATGTTTTTTTCCCCTTTACTTGTTGTAGCCTCTGAAAGAGTTGATCAGTCAAAACCAGGCAGGGTCACAGCTGCTGCCCCACACAGCCACGCTCGTACCCTGAGCTCTCCGAGTTATCAGTCTGCTTCCTCAGACTTGCAGACAGAGAAAAAACCTGTCACCCTCCCTTGTGATTTCACTGCCATTGCTTTGAAACCACTGCTTAGAAATCTTTTATTTCAGAGGCCTGGTGACCCTACCCAAGGGATTCATCAGCATGTGGAGATGCTGCCCCACAGGGACGCTCTCCATCAGCACCCTGACACCTGACAGAGCACCCAGACAGCTGAAAGCCCAGAGAGAGAACGTGAGCTGGTGCTCCTGCAATGGTTTTGCACCCCTACCTTCCAGGTGTTTATTTCTCTCATGTTTCCTGAACTCCTGCTGTTCCCTCTGCAGCACCTCAGCTGACACCAAGCCACCTTTGACCCCAGTGAATGTCACGTTTGCCTGCAAATCAAATAAAAATCATCACAGGTAATGCCAGTCAAGAGCTGTCCAGCAATTCACAGGCACAGCAAGGGGACAGCCTGAAATTAAGAGAGATGTGTCAGCAGAGACAGCCACGTTACAAAGCCACTTTGCTGACATCCTTCAGCGTTGAACAACTTCCCCAGACCTCCAGAAACAGAGCGGACTGAGGCAGAGCTCCTCTCTCTCCTACAGCGAGCAGAGGGTCAGGCACAGCTGCACACATGACACCTATGAAATTTCTGCTCCCCAATTTGCAAGTTGTTGGGCTTTTACAGTTTTCTATCAACAGGGAGTAAGTCGCAGCTCAAGGGGAAAGACAAAATGTTTACCTTCTTGGGAGATCCCTTAGGGTCACGGTGGCGATGAGGTGAGAGGTCTGGGGGACTCCTTGAACTGCGCTGATCCTTTCCAGCTGGCAGAGTCCGTTGTGGAGGAGATGAGTCTGAAGATTTGCTCTCGTTGTGCTTGAGGGGACCAGGCTCAGAGGAATCTCCACGCACACGGCCTGGCCTGCGCTCTGCCTCAGAGGTGTTCCGGGCACCCCTGCGCGGGGACGGGGAGTCGGAGTCGCGCCTCAGGCGCCTCGGAGGGGAGGGCACCGGCCTGAGCTTTTTCGTGTCTGGAGAAGCACCTGCAGCACAGACACAAACCAAGTGAAAATCACTGAATTTGACAGAATTAGTCCCACAAAAGGACTAAACGTGGTCGTGCATGAGGTTAACTCCTCATGAAAAATCGAGACCTCGGGAGGTGACGCGCTGTGAGGAAGAGACAAGTAGGTGACAAGAGTCTGAATTCTCTTCCTTCTGAAGGTGTGCTGTCTGGAGACAGGGCTTAAACTTTGCTTTCTGTTTGGATGTGTTTAAGCCTTAGCCAGCTAACTCTCAGGTTAATTCTAGTCCAGATGAAAAAGTCAGATTCCAAGAACTACAGCTGTACTGACAGAAATGGCAACCTACCTGCTGCCACTCCACGACTGCAGAGTACCAATGCCAGGCCACCCGCCTCTCGGGAGCAAACACAGAGCACAGCAAAGCCCAGGGCCCAAGAGCCCCTGTGCACACTCACCTTTTGTTCTACTCTGCTTTTTCTGACTAGGTGACCCAGTCCTCTGTCTGTGAGGGGGTGACGAACCTGGGTCCGAATCGCACCTCTTCTTCCGCGCAGGGGACAGATCCGGAGTAGCCTGACGCTTCTGTCGCGACGAGGACTTGTCAGCGAGGCCGTGCCTGAGCTGAGCCTGCTCCCCGCGGGCTCCCCCGGACTGGGACGTGTCTGTGGGTTTGCAGCTCTTCCTCCCTGCTGCTGAACTGACCCTCTTTGCAGGGACATCTGGGGAGTACTGCCACTGCCGCCTGGGAGGTGACACCTCAGGGGTGTCGTGACGCTTTCGCCTGGGAGGTGACAGGTCAGGAGAGTCGTGACGTCGCCTCGGAGGTGACGGGTCAGGGGAGTCGTGACGTTGTCGCCTCGGAGGTGACATGTCAGGGGTGTCACAACGCTGTCGCCTGGGAGGTGATGGGTCAGGGGAGTCGTGACGCTGCCGCCTGGGAGGTGACACGTCAGGGGTGTCATGACGCTGTCGCCTGGGAGGTGACACGTCAGGGGAGTCATGACGCTGCCGCCTGGGAGGTGACATGTCAGGGGAGTCATGACGCTGTCGCCTGGGAGGTGACATGTCAGGGGAGTCATGACGCTTTCGCCTGGGAGGGGACACCTCAGGGGTGTCATGACGCTTTCGCCTGGGAGGTGACAGGTCAGGAGAGTCGTGACGCTGCCGCCTGGGAGGTGACACCTCAGGGGTGTCATGACGCTGTCGCCTGGGAGGTGACATGTCAGGGGTGTCACGACGCTGCCGCCTTGGGGGAGAGGGGTTCACAGAGCCGTTGTGCTTCCTCCTCGGCGGGGAGAGGTCAGGGGAATCGTGGCGCTGTCGCCTGGGAGGTAAGAGGCTGGGGAAGTTGTTCCTCCCTCGCCTGGGAGGGGACAGATCCGGGGAGTCGCGGCACTGGTGTCCTGGAGGTGACTTGTCCGGGGTGTCGTGTCTCAGTCTCCTCGGTGGCGAGGTGTCTGGGGAGTCATGGCGCTGTCGCCTGGGAGGGGAGAAGGTAAAAACAAGAGTTAAGATTTTCATTTTGCTGCCTCCAGACTGAAAACAAGAAGCAAGTAAAGCTAACAGCAGGGATCGAGGACAAAAACAATTTTCTGAACACAAATTCACGCTTGACTCTGCACCTCTATGGAGTGAGCTGCATCACGAGCTGCAGACTTCCTCAAGTGGATCCCAGAAACCCTCTGAGGCAACCTGGATCACAGAGAAGCTGTGATCTTAAAGTCTCCAGAGACTCTTGTGATGCTCAGACTACAAATTCCGTGCCCTTGTATAATCCTCTCCTCACAAGGAAACACCCCAGCACACCCTCTGAGACAGCCTGGGTGCTGTATGACCGTGGAACACCCCACAGATGCTTTCAGAAAAGCAAAGCACCACCATCCTCACCACGTTCCAGTGCCAGAGAGAGTCATCACCCAGATTCCTACGATGCTGTCAGAGGGTTGTGGGACAGTGAACACCCAGAGAGCTGCTGTCTGCCCATTCCCCTCCCCACCCCAGGCAGAGGTGATTCGGCACTGGAAAAGGAATCCCTGCAAATGCCAGGTTCCAATTTCATAGCAAAGGGCTTAGAAACTGCAGAATAAGACCGAAAATACCAGAAAACGGAGAGTTAAGCAGAAGAATTTCCAGTTGGAGCCCCATACCTCACAGCAGATTTGGCAGGTGCTGACACTTCCAAACTCTGCGAGTCTTCGTTCGAGTCTAAAGAAAAACCACCAGAAAGCGGCCGTTACCGGGGGTCTCCAGTTCGTGATCTCTTCAGCACCTCCAGAATTTATTTGTTTGGGGTTTTTTTTTTTAAGGTTAGCATTATTTTTACTTTGCAACATGATTGTTTAGAGGAGTTAAACATCCAGGGAGAGAGGGTGAAAACGTCTGCTCTCACCTCCTAGGAGTTTCCATTTCGCGTTTGTACGGAATTGCTCCATGAGCTTCACCTCGTCTGGGCGCTCGTCGATGAATTCTGCCACCTGAGGACAAAGCCCCAGAGTGACCAACACTGCCTTGGAGAAAAGGATTCGTGCCTCTAACGCAAAGAATTCAGTGTAACTGCACTGATGGGTCACCACTGTTCAGCTGCCTTCCTAGCAGATCTCAAACCAGCTTTCCAAAGGCTTTGCCTTTGATGTTTGATCTCTTTGCTGCCAAGATTTGGAGAAGAGGAGGCTGAGGGGTGACCTCATTAATGTTTATAAATATGTCATGAGGATGGAGCCAGGCTCTTCTCAGTGATGCCCAATGGTAGGACAAGGGGCAATGGGTGTGAGCTGGAACACAGGAGGTTCTGCTTCAACTTGAGAAGGAACTTCTTTCCAGTGAGGGTGACAGAGCCCTGGGACAGGCTGCCCAGGGAGGGTGTGGAGTCTCCTTCTCTGGAGACATTCAAGACCCGCCTGGACACCTTCCTGTGTGATCTCATTGAGGTTCCTGCTCTGGCAGGGGGATTGGACTGGATGATCTTTCCAGGTCCCTTCCAATCCCTGACATTCTGTGATTCTGTGATTTCCAGCCCGTGCTGGTTGGTCCCACAGGGATACTGGGAAAACTGGTCAGAGAAACGCTCCAAGACCTGTTCTGGAGTTGGAGAAGCAGGAGGAAAAGTACCTGTGTCAGTCTTTGTTCCAGCACTCGTTATATTGACCTAATCCACATATATTCATTGAACTTCTGAGAATTATCTACATATTCAAAACATTTCCCATAATTATTTAGCATATGTAAATGTCCTTCACACTTGCATGGTAAAATCATAGAATCAGAGAATGGTTTGGGTTGGAAGGGACCTTAAAGCTCATCCAGTCCCAACCCCCCTGCCAGCAGCAGGGACACCTTCCACTAGACCAGGTTGCTCAAAGCCTCATCCAGCCTGGCCTTCAACACTTCCAGGGAGGAGCAGCCACAACTTCCTTGGGCAACCTGTTCCAGTGTCTGACCACCCTCACAGTGAAGAACTTCTACCTAATATCTCATCTAAACCTCCCCTCTAATCTAAACCTACCCAAAATGAGTGGGTGGTCTTTGCCAGCCTTCATCACCATATCCCCTGACTGAGCTCCTCTTTGATTCTGTCAGTGGTGTCTCTTGTACACGCCTGGGGCAGCGTCCCTTGAAGAAGGTTTGGTCCTTCCTCAGGCTTAAGCCCTGCTGATAACATCTGCTAAAGATCCTGAGGTCTGTGAGGAATCTCACTCCAGGGTTGTTACAGGGGCGGGTGATGTTCAGGTAACTAGGGGATCTGTAAATCTTTTCGTTTCTGATTTCTCAGGGTTTCCTCTTTCAACAGCCACCTCCTGCCTTGTCTCTGTTTGAACTGCTGCACTGGCCCCAAAAATGAAAGGGGGAAAAGGGGGAAAGGGGGAAA